TTAGAACAGATAAAAATGTGCGATTAAGTTGCGATTAATCGCGATTAAATATTTTAATCGATTGACAGTCCTAATTTTAATGCATAATTTTTTATGCTCACCAAGGCTGCATTCATTTGAAAATAATACAATAAAAACAGTAATACTGTAAAATATTAGTACAATCAACTGTTTTCTATTTTTATATATTTTCAAATGTAATTTAATCCTGTGATGCAAAGCTGAATTTTCAGCATCATTTCTCCAGTCTTCAGTGTCACATGATCCTTCAGAAATCATTCTGATATGCTGACTTGCTGCTTAAGAACCATTTCTTGTTATCAAATTTGTTAACAGTTGTGTTGCTAAATATTTTTGTGAAAACCATTTTAATTTATTTATTTATTTTGAGGAATACAAAAGTAAAAAGAACAGCATTTTTAAAAACAGAATCTTTTTTGTAACAATGTAAAAAGTCTTTACAGTCACTTTTGGTAAAATTCATATGTCCTTGCTGAATACAAGTTTTAATTTCTCTCCATTACTAACCCCAAACTTTTGAGTGGTAGTGTACAATAAAATAGAATTAAACCAAGATATGCTGAAGCAAAAGCAAAATGACAAAATTCTTATGATGCTTAGAGGATTTTTTTTCTTAAATAGGAAAAAAAGTACTAAAAAGTACTGAGGAAGAAAATATATTTTTTCATTGTGGTGTTATACTGAACCCACTATAGCTCTGTACTAAAGAATTGAATGATTATCATATACATAATCAGTGGTATTTAGAAGGTACAGTGGTACAGGTGCAAATAATAGAATGCTATGATATTCCCATGATATGCCAGAGAGGTGTTACTCAGGGCTGTATGAGAAGTATGTCCACTAGGCTCCATAGTCTTATTATGGAATGCAGATAATGAAATGTTAATTTTTAGACTCTCACTTGTATCTTTTTATCATCATTCCTCCATGCTTTTCAGCTGTAGATGTGCTGAGATCTCTGTGTGCCCCAAGGTGCTTTCCATTCCAGCGTATGAGTCATAATTATTCAACACTAACAGATGAGCCAGCTTTCAGAATGAGCCCAGGAGTGAGTTCAAGACGTGATATCATGAGGAATCAAATCAAGAAGTTTCCTTGATCTTGTTGGATAAAAGAGTTTAAAACATAAGGCTTGTTTCTAAACATCTGCAGTTTGCTGACATCACATGAACATGTCACCACCCACGTCAACAATGCCTGTTTGTTGTTCAGAAAATTGTTCAGTAAAGATGCAATAATGTGGATGAAAAACTGTCCTGGAGCAGCCCAGCAGTCTCACTCATCTAACAACTGATTTAACTCGTCAGCTCATTAATATAGACTTTAAGACCTGAAGTGGGTCAGAAAAGGGCCGCAGGTAAATATGGCATTTATTATAATGGGTTTATGTGAAGATTGTTTTAAGTTCACTTAAATTAGAAGTTATTATTTAAAGTCTAATAAATGTTCAAATTGATAGCTAGGGATGCACTGATACCGATACTGGTATCGGTATCGGGCCCGATACTGAGCTCCTGTACTCCTACTCGTACTCGTTAAAATGCCCCGATACCAAACGCCGATACCACACAGCATGTGATAAGTGCCATATTCAGACAAAGAAACACCGACAACAGAACTACTGACAGCAGAATGGAGTTAAGGATGTCTACTACGAAGTATATGAATGCAATGAATATAATGTTAAACATTCAGTATTAACGCCTGTATAGCTGATGTGCGCGAGCTGATAAACAAAGCACGCTGAGTGGATTGAGCTCGCGGCAGCGCAGATGCGCGAGCTTGTTGAGTGAATATATCTTTCTCACAGACATCACTGGAAAGTTTGTAGTTCGGTCGGATATGTCAAAAACAAGTAAGTAAAACAATGCACAAGTTACTTTAGGGTAGGGAGAGAGAGCGAGAGAGAGAGAGAGATCTTTGATGTTCCCTCACTTAGCACGCGCATCATTTGGATTAAAACTAAATCGTAAAAATAAGACCATTTATAGGGGCATTCACTATAATTCTGGTGAATTTGAATCTAGCAGCCTGTGTGAAATGCGCTAGGCTGTAGTACTGTCCTCTCATTCTGCATCAGTACAAATACGTGCACGCGTTGCGCGTGTTTTGCTTGCTTGAGTGTTTCTGCATTATATGAGTGGCTTTGGAATATAAATCGCAGCACGTTTCAGATGAAAAAACGTCACTTCTATTTCTGAAAATATCAGTTAGGGGATTTATAACGAGTGGTTCCCTGCATTATTACAGCAAACCGCGTGATTACAGTACTGAGCCGCTGCAATGGAGCAGCTCTAATGCTATTAAATTAAAGATGAGCAATACCATAGAGCAAAAAAAACGAATAATGAAAGTAACAAAAATTTGTAAAATACATTTTAATGGCCATAATTAAGTGTGAAAATAACCGAAGGATATACAGTCAAACCAAAAATTATTCAGAGACCAGATATAATTTTTGGATATTTTTTTTACTAGTGGGTGCAGGACACTATAGTTCATTTATGTAAGTGAGGATAGCAAAATAAAGTAAACTGTTGACAAATCATACCCAAAAATTATTCATACAGTGGACTACCAGTACAATTGATACAAATTTGGGACCAGAAATTATTCAGACCGAGTCTGGGGAAAAACATTTAAGTTGAGGTTTGCATGGAGCTGGATGACAGCATGCCCAGGAGACTACAGGCTGTCATTAAGGCTAAGGGTTGCCCGTCTAAGCATTGATAGTTGTGTAAATACTGTCATACTAACAGCTGTCTGAATTATGATTGTAATCTATTTCAATCAAAGTTATCTAACATTATCAAGCTGAATTTGTTCTGACTCAGTTTAAGTCTGAGTTCTTGTCATATTTTATTACCATTTTCTAAACTATAGCGAATAAACTGATAATGTGAGAAATGTTGAAGGTGTCTGAATAAATTTGTGTTTGACTGTATCTATTTGATAAATGAAGTTAACCAACTAACATTATACATACTCTTTTGGTTTCTGTACCCAATATTTAAAAAATTTACAAATGCAATAAAAATATTGGTATCGGTACTCGGTATCGACAAGTACCAAAAATAAAAGTATCGGTATCGGGCGAGTACTGGAAAAAGTGGTATCGGTGCATCCCTATCTTGTTTTTGTCAGATTCACACAAAACACATTTCTCTATGAAATTACACCACATAATTCAGTTTCTAATTTGATTTTGTGAGAAGTCACTTTCATTTTCAATGACAAATGATGTAAATGGTAACCTGGTTAGTATTAGTATTAGTATTAGTATGGGCTGAAATGTTACCTATTCATATTTTTGTCACATCCACACAAAACATGTTTCAAAACATGTTTCTCTATGAAATTACACAGCATAATTCAATTGAAATCATTTGGTGAGAAGTCAGTTTAGTTTTAAATGAGAAATTATGTCAATTTAACATGGTCTCATTATGCAATCAGCTTTCTAGTACTGAAACAGTGCTGTCTTTGTTTGATTTCATCTACCCTCTGATTCAACACAAGCGTTCAGTGTTCTTCATCGCACTGGAACTTATTCTGTCTGTTATCACTGTATGAGATGAGTCACAGATATTTTTTAGGAAACTTGCTGCGCTAAATCAGAATGAGAGTGTCAGAATAGATTTGTTTTGACATAGTCTGCAAGTTAGGAAAAGAACTCCAGACATGCTGTAGTACTGTACTGCAGAGCTCTGTGGCCAAACTGCTGTCTGTTGTTGTCACTGAGACATGGCCTAGTTGGGTGGCGACCCGGATGATCAGTGTAAAGTATCATGACAATAGTGCGTGAGCAGGGCCTGACAGGCGAGGCTTTGAAGCTCACGCTGCCTGTCGCATCCTGATGCAAGTCACACTGAGTTTTCCATAGCTTTGCCTGTTTAAAAACAAAAGTTACATGCACTACCATTTGGGTTCAGCGAAAGATTTCCATTTCAAATTAATGCTGTTCTTTTGAACTTTCAATTCATCAATAGGAATATTACGCTGTTACGCTACATTATAATGTTGTAACTATTTTCAACACTGAAAATAAAAAGAAATGTTTCTTGAGCAGCAAATCAGCATATCTGAATGATTTCTGAAGGATCATGTGAAACTGAAGACTGGAGTAATGCTGCTGAAAATTCAGCTTTGCCATCACAGGAATAAATTACATATTTAAATATATTAGAAAAGAAAACTTTTTAAGTTGTAATAATATTTTACAGTGTTACTTTTTACTGTATTTTTGATCAAATAAATGCAACTATGGTGAGCATAATAGACTTCTTTTAAAAACATTTAAAAATAATAATAATTGCCAACCCCAAACTTTGAATGGTTGTGTACTTTATTACAGATACTTCATTTTTTATTTAAAAAAATATATATTAATGCAATAAATCAAAAATAAATCAAATTCAGATGCACAGTATTGCCACTATTTTCGTGCTGTAAAATCTTGTAAAAATATTTTTATCTAGAAACTCTAAACAAATCAGAATGGAACACATTTGATCAGACATGTTTGTTTATTAAATATTATTTATATTTGGATTATTCTTTAAGCTACCAATAAGAATGTAACTCATTTAACGTATTTAACCATGTCTAAATCCATTCCACAGAATTCCCATTTTTTCCCTAAAATCAGAGCAAAAAATGTGGAAAAATTCAGCATATTCCATCTGGCTCATAAGCAATTAAAAATGGCATATAATATAATTTTTAACAGTGTGTTTGTCATTGTTTCTGTAGGTCAGACCACCTGTACGTTTTCTTCATCCAGTGGAGCTCGGATGTTTTTGGGGATGGGGTAGGAAGCATCAGCCGTGATCCTGGCTTCATCGTGGTGAAGAAAATCGAGGAGTCAGAGGCAAACGAGGAGCAGCAAACTGTAGAAAATTCAGATAAGGAGTGGGAGGTATGGCCCATCCAGCTCACATGTTTGGATTGATACTATATCTGTGATTTATGCTTGTGTCTGTATTCTATGTGTGCTTTATTCTATATGCACTGTATTTGATTCAGATATTTCTCTTTATTGTATTTGCACCTGTCTGTGTCTTTATTGTCTGTTTCTATGTTCCAGGTTTTTTGAAGTGTCTTTATTGTGTTCCCCGCACTTCAAACACCTTCATGCACCAGTCATACGTTGTTGTCAGAGCTCCTGTATTCAGTTTTGCTGAATGTTTCTCAGACTGGGTTGTTTTGCACTTGGTCAATAAGTTTCTTGTGAAACCAAGATGCATTGTGCACTGTGAGCTTGCAGCTGGTGTTTTGCATGAGTGTGCAGTTGTTTCATTATTTTAGTTGTTTTGTTTTTTCAAGAAAGAGGCACATGTATGCAGTTTTATGCATGCATGGATCCCTCAGTCGTGTCTAAAAAGGCATGGTTTAGCCCGACTATGTCATGCCTGAATGAGATACAAGCGAATCATGCCTATAGGTGCAAGTGTTGTGTGGTGTTTCTTTTATAAAGCTCAGTTTGAATGTTTTACTGATTGGATAATAGGAAACATTACCACCTGATATTTCCCTGCATGTTATTGTGTTCTGGTAGCCATATTGAAACCAGTCTGTGGCACTGAGAAACCGATACTACGACTGCGGCGGCATTTAAATTTGACTTTAAATTAATGATGTAGGGAACAAAATAGACTGATTTGTTATTCTGAAACTGGAAGATCTTTGCAAAGCCACATGATCTTTTGATATGAATAAGTAAAATTAACTTCTCTGATAATGACCACAGGGGTGGCGTGAGTCATGAACTCAACTGGATATTGTGACTGAGGATACTCAGGGGGTCAATTGTAACACTAAGCAAGCTAGAGTGTTGACACTTGTTTAGCACATGCTCACTTGTTTTACTTTGTGAAACTGATTTTTAGGCATAAAAGTTGCATTTCGAATGTCCCGTATTTTTCTCTGCTGTCTGAAATTGTTATGCTTGTCAATTTAAAAATTGTTTGACTGTTAAACATTATCAGATAGGTCTAAGTAGGCAGCTAGGATATTTAATGTTCATAGTTAGGGACATTTGAAACGTGACCAGGGTGTTTCAGTTTGGTTGTTCTACTCCCAAAAAAGGAATTTTTTAGTTTATTGATAAGGGGACTAAATACAGGCCTGCCTGTAAATTTGCCTGCCTGCCTGTTTGGGTTCTAAACTTTAACAGGTTGGGGGTATTAACTTATGCAATGAACATTGTTTCATTAAACTATCTACTTGAAGGCTTCTTTAACAGAGATGCACTGAAACCAATCTGGGGTCATCAGGTGCCATTAAAGCAAAAAAGAGTGGCATACTTTTAAGCTTTTTGCTCAATTTATGTTGATAATATAATTTGTAATGCAATATGTATATATATATATTTGTTGCATGAAAATAAGCATTTTCACTAGTGTTCTCACAATTTTATTTCTCTATTTATTACTTTAAATAAGTATAAGCCCTTTTTTTTGTTTTAAACAACATTCCTGACAGCTAAAAGAATTAGTATCATTTAAAAGTGAACATTGTCAAGAATGCTATTAAATTATCATTTGAGGTGTCCTCTTATTTGATTTACATCGATTAGTATAATTTTTAAAGTGTTAAAGTGCCCCTATTATGCAATTTTTAAGGTTCCTGATATTGTTTTGGAAGTCCCCTACAACAGGTTTACATGCATGCAAGGTCAAAAAACACTTTAGTTTTCTCATAATATACATTTAATTTCACCGCATTTCTCAATGATTCGTAAACTGTTCATACGAAGCAGTTGTTTCAGTCTCTCTAAACCCCTCCTTTCCGTGAGCCTACTCTGCTCTGATTGGTTAGTCGGCCCAATCCTTTGTTATTGGTCGACCAGGTACAGCGCGTGTCAGAAACGAAACACCCATTGCCATAACTGAATGACAGCTCCGGAGAGAAAGATAGTATCGATTTTATCTTATAAATTCGAGCCCGTATCTGATGATGAAACGTCTAGTTGATCAACCAGACACTGATTTGCAAGCACGACTGGAGCAGGATGTTTCTCAGTGGTAAGCGTCAACTTAGTTTGTGGTATTTATAAGATGTGATTGCAGCGTCATTGCTATAATTTGAAGAGTTCATTTGCAAAAACCGATAAACGCCACTTTAAAAAACAAAAAAGAGCTGATTGCCGTGCATTATTCCCCACATATAGCAAGATCTGAAACCTAAACATGTTTTGTCAAAAAAGCCGGTTTTGTCCACTTTCAAGGCATCGTGAGTTCACGTTTTACTGCAGAAGCCGACAAGCGCCCTTGTTGTTTTTGTACAGAAGCCGATAAGTCAATTTTAGCGAATCAGCGCGCTGTATTCAGGTCAGGTGACAAGGCTACTTTCACTTTGAAAAAAAAAAGGCTAGCTGAGAGGAGTTTCGTCAAAGCTGACTAAAAGGGATCAAGGATGGATAATTTCGACGAACTTGATGAACCTGTGAAATCTTCTGGGCAAAAAAGGAAAATAAAAGCTGAAACGTTTTCAAGGAACCTTGCAAAAGCAGCGCGTTACAATGGTGTGGGAAAAGCTTCATGTATTGCGTGTAATCACATCCATACAGTTTATGATCACAACAACAACAACGTTTATCAGGCATCTGCACTGTCATCTGAGGAGATTATAAATATTAAACAAGTGTTTTTTTAAACTCTAAAACATGAAATGTGGAGTTGTCTGCTTTTGCCAAAAAAACGACTGTTGGAGTTATCTGCTTTTGCTATAAAACAAACTTTTAATATGTAAAAAAAACATACTTTAAATGAACTTTAATTTTGTAAATTACCTGTATTTGTTTAAGTTATTATTACTTAATCAAAACAACCCAACTGCAGTTTGATTGATATTACTTGGAATGTGCAATAAAAAAATTAAAATGGAGTTATCGGTTTTTGCAAATGAACTCTTCATTTATTTAGGTGTATGTGTGGGAACTGTATAAGAATGCCTAGCAAAGGTGAAAACCACTGCTGCTATACGTTTCTGCATTAGTTGAGTATTAGACGCATCTTTTCTAAAGAATTAAGTGTATTTTGAACTCCCTGAGATTAGAGAAGCAGTCGTCAGTAAAATTACGGAAACACAAAAAAGATTGGGTATTGTACTGTTGTGGTATCGTTGAAAAACTGAATGTCAGTTACTGATTCTTTGCAGCCTCATCATTCGGAAGTGAAAATAAAACAAATTTACTTTCGCAGCGTAGGACACAGCGTCTTCTCAACATGATGTTAACCACATGGAAATGCTACACTGTTTGAGGGCGGGTCAAATTGTTCACGGGCAGCCAACGTAGAACGTGTTACCCAGTGACGTGTAGCCGTCACGGAAGTGGGAAGTGAGACGACTGATGTTTAGGCTGTTTAGAGTCGATTTTTTTTTAGAGAGAGACAATAACTTTATTTACCGTGAACTGTCGGCTTCATAACTTTGCAGATAATTTACATTCACATACAGCTACATTATTATGTAAGGCAATATTCGAAATGGCATAATAGGGGCACATTAACATTGCCTGTGGCAATTATAATACTCTGACTTCTTGTGTTACATTTAATATTAATTCTCAGTGTAAATATTTTTTAAGAATTTAAGATCTTAAAAATTAAGGTTTTCATATTAAGGGAAAACAAAATCAAAAACTACATGGCTCTGTGTGAAAAAGTGTTTGCCCCCTAAACCTAATAACTTTTCTCTTAATAATAAAAACCTTCATTTAAAAACTGCATGTTGTGTTCACTTGTGTTATCTTTGACTAATATTTAAATTTGTTTGATGATCTGAAACATTAAAGTGTGGCAAAAAAATAAGAAATCAGGAAGGGGGCCAACACTTTTTCACACCACTGTACGTCTATAGGACGTTTCCTATCAGATGTCAAATAGACATTTAGAAAAATGTCTTAAAGATGTTTATGATTTAGAATGTATGTAAAACTGACATCTTAGAGACGTCTATCAGATGTTTGTACACAGCAGATGCTTTCCAGATGAAGTGATCTTTAACAAACATCTTGCAGACGGACGTGTGCTATCTGGGTACAGTTTCCCTGGTTACTCCCGGTAAAGCATGTACTGAATGAATTTACTTACTATGAGTATTGAAAAATGTGATCTGACATCTGGTATTAATATATTGCCTCAAGTTTGCTACTTTGTTGTTTCTCAAAACATAGTCAACAGCCTACTTAGAGAACATTGTGGGTATCATGCCCTGTCTAGGTAGGCAGCTCACTAGGTTATTTAGTGTTCATGGTTAGTGACATTTGGAACATGGCCAGAGTGTCTGAGTTTGGTTGTTCTACTCCCAAAAAAGCAGTTTAATAGTACAAGCATGTTTAGTCCAGATAAAGAACATGCGTGTACGTGAACGAGTCTTCATCGACAGCCTTGAATTTCTTAGTGTCCGTTTTGATCCCTCCGCGTTATAACCTCAATCATTTGACTCATTCGCAAGCATTGTTGATCAAACTATTTAGAGGTCGCGTTAAGGTGCGATTGTTCCTTTAAAAGCGCTAAAGCATTCCGTACAGGAGGCGGGGTGTATTGTAACAGAGCCAATCAGAGGCTGAGTTTTTCCATTTGGTCCGATGTCATTGGCTCACGTAGGTGTCTGTCAGTATCTTGCCGTTGTGTTTATGTCTGAATATGGCATGTTGTCGGTCGGCGGAAAGAAATCTGAATGTGACAGGCAGTGATATTATGTTTCCCTTTTACTGTCGACAAGTCAGTGTTGTTGCAGGACTTTAAAGGGATAGTTTGCCCAAAAAATTATTTAATAAATAAATATATAAATATATAAAAGTACTCTCTGTCATGACATTCCAAATTCCAAACCTGTATGACTGCGTGAAACACGAAAGAGAACATGTTAACATGTTAAGCTAGTCGCTGTGTTTCTATTAGGGATGCGCCGATCCGATATTCATATCGGGTATCGGCTCCGATAGTGCCATTTTTCTCGGATCGGGTATCGGTCAGAGAGGGCCGATCTAAATCCAAGATTTTTTTTATTTATTTTTTTTCGATTGTGCGAATTATTCTGTGTTACTTCTGAAGCCATATGATAGCTTAATGTGAGCTACAAAATGAATATTTAACTCCTTACATTAAAGTTCACACAAACTCTTTTCTCCGCTGCGGCTGTCAGTCATTCGTTCAGCCTTTAAACCCTGGTCGCGTTCGGTTGCGACAGTCAGTTCGGTAAAGCTCTCTCCAAGATCATTCTGTGTTCCCATTATACTTGATTTGTAAATACATGTCTATGATTTTGCAGGACTTTAATTTTGTTTTGTTACTTGCTACCGGGTGTCTGTGAGAACAAAACACGGCGTAGAAAAAACGATCAATTGTTTTTAACGTGCACAGTAACTGAAATTTAAAACTGTTAAAAGAAAGGCTCAATAACTGTTGCACAGATATAATACACTACGCATCAATTTCTCTTCACTTTGTGCTTTGCAGTTTTTAACAGGAAGCGCGTACAATGTGCGCATCCGGTGTGCAGGCTGTGACGCCAGGTTGCTTCAGGCTTCAAGCGCATCATTCTGCACACCGGATGCACACATTGTAAGCGCTTCGTGCTCATAGACTGTATAAAAACAGTTCGTGCTGCACTGTATTTGTTTTGTCCTATCGTATCTATCATATGTTGTTGCTTTATTTAAAAATATGCTATAGATTTAAAATAAATTTATTTTAATTTTATAGTATATACTTATATATAAATACATTCATGAATGTTTTTAATGAATGGATTTTATAATAATACAAATAGCAATTTGTAACATTTTACCATATTTAGTGCAACACTT